ATATTTGGATAGTTTGAAGCAATCATGTACATCAGAAAATAACATTAACATGATACACGAATCTAACAATAGTTAATTTCTGTATAAGAGATTCGGTATAGTGAAGAGAAAATTGTAATATGTCAGAGAATATATATTTATATATATATATATATATATTTTTTTTTTTATTTATATAGAATTATTTTGATAATCAATTTCTTGCTAAAAAATTTTATAAATAAATTTGAAGATGTGATATTATATTCATAGGAGAGTGCAATAATGTTACTGCACTTTTACATATTTAATTCTTGTTGGTTAGAAACGTTTTATTTAAATTACTTGGTAAGATTAACAGGGAGGCGAGGAGGGGGGGGGATGGTTGGGGTAACTTTTCACGAACAATTATATATGTGATTATTAATTTCATTTTGATATGTGAAATATTTCTTAATTAATAATTTTTTTTTCCCCCCCATATAATCCGATATCGTTTCTTTTATCACGATATGACATTGACACAGATTATGAAATGTGTCATTTATTTGAACGAATTTAGGGGAAGGAAAATCTTTTCGATGTAACGAATTGAGACGACGATACATTGGCATTGATTTGATTTCATTTGATTTAGTTTTTTGAAATGTTTGATTTGATATGCCCCATTCGTTTTCTTGGTTTTTTTTCTTTTCTTTTGTTTTTTCTTGTTCGTTATTCATACGATACGGATTATTATAAATATTCCATTGTTTCAAAAAATATTTTTCTCTATGTTTATATTTGAAATGAAATATTTTAGATAAAATATGTCATTCGAATGAAATACCGATTCACTTTTTTATATATATATATATATGGTGTTCTATATTCGGTTCGCAACAAGTTAACGTTCCACGAATTTTTCCTGATATCGATCAATAATTATATTTGACGTAAATTGTGGATACTTCGATGGTACATGCAAATAACAATGTTCATTTATTCGTTTTAATTAAAACGTTTAATCGTAAAATTGAATTTGTCGAGATAATTTGTTAATCGATATCACGTACGAAACAATCGTATTTCATTTTAATTTGTTTTTCTTATAAATATTAAAGTAATCTTTTTTCGATCGTATAAAATTGTTACATTTTTTGTTTCTTTTTTTCATAAATATTATTCACATTTAAATAATTCGTACATTTTTCTCTTCCCTTCTTGGTTTTCTATTTGTTTTTTTATTTTTTTATATTATATATAAATTGAAATTTTATTCTGCTGACGTTTACGTTATTAAACAATGTCTTATGTTAGGTGTCGTTCTAATAATATGAAAGATAAAGATAGAGACATTTTCTTTTAAACTTTGTAATAAAAATGTCCGCACCATTAGCTTAAATTTATTTTATCTACCGATCCCACGTAATCGAATATTCTCTTCTTAAGTGCATAGTTCTACAGGTACTACTACTACTACTACTACTACTACTACTATGCGGTGTATTGATCCACGGAAAAGACTAAATTTCTCGTCATAAGTATTTTCACCGAGTTTACTTTTTTGTCATAGAAAAGTATTTGAATATTCATTAACGAGAAACACAAGTATATTCATTAAAATTCGCATTTAAACGAACTTATTATTCTAGCATTTATAATTTTTTATTATACTTTTTTTTTCTCCTTCTTCATCTTCTTCATCTTCTTCTTCTTCTTCTGCCTTTTATTTTCATTTTTCTCTTTTCTTAAATAGTTAATTAAAACTTTTCGGATTTATTTAATTACACACGATTAAACGATTTAAATAAATTTATAAAAATTAATTTGAAAAAAAAATAGAAAAAGAAAGAAAAGGAATACAATTATATGATATTATTCTAGCATTTATAATTTTTCACTATACTTTTTTTTTTCCTTCTTCTTCTTCTTCTGCCTTTTTTTTTTATTTTTCTCTCTTCTTAAA